TCCTTCTGAGTCGGCTCGTTTGCAGCTCCGATCGGATCCACGACGGCTCTTGTACTAGGTTTCCCTTTCTAGTGTTTCGGTAATCATCTGAAAAATGATGGTTCTTTTTTGAATGCGGGGGAATGCCGAAGTCAGTAATTTTCGGGCCTCGAGTTTGAAGTATTGCGTCGCACCTTGAGCCGGAAACTCTCCCTAGGGGGAAACTTCGCCGTAATTACCCATCTTCGCTCTTCTTTCCGGTCGGTGCAGCGCCACAGGATCCATCACGATGCTCTTGTGCTTCATCAAGAAAATCAGTAGTTCACGTATCTCGTTCGCTCATACTTTTCGGTGTGCTCGAGAGGGCCTTTTACTTATCACCTCGTTTTGATGCTAGCGCACTCGATGTTCAACAGACTGGAAGCGAAGCGTCCCGCGATTTTCGGGACAAAGTCTCGCGACAACGATCCCCTCGTATCGCCGTGAACTTCGAACATCTGTCGATGGTCACAGCCCTAGCTGACAGGATGATGAAACCAGTAGCAGTCCAGTTCCGGTGTTTTGACTTCAACAGGAAGCAGTGGTTTACCGAACGATGTTTTTCCATCATCATTACTAACAGTGGCGTCCGTTGCTGCTGCAGTCGCACCGCCATTCCACTGACAGGTGTGTGGGTCAAGGTACTAGGCGCAGAAGCTGTCGGCCGCATGATTTTTTCTCTTTTTTTCTTCTCGAGAATTTTATGACTTCTCCCGGGAGTTTTCTACTGCCGGTAACAAGATAAGCGCCGGACGGCAAATAGTGATGCTAATAAGATCGGGCTCACCACCGGGATGAACGGTCGCAAACCATAAGAGGAGGAACGATCGGAGCCCTACAAAAGGGAAGAATGATCGTGGAACAGAACAGATTTCAGAGTAATTTTTCACCGCATAGGAGTCAAAGGTTAATCATTTCTATGCGTCAATCGGCTGACCGGACCGACGTCGGTTGCTGACTGATGCTGCCCGAGTAGTCAGCTCGAAGATGAACCTCTTAATCAATTTATCTCCTGCGAAAAGATCTGGTTAATGGGCGCTGGATTATTCATGAATTCATGATGCACCCGGGGAATTCACTCAATGACTGTCATAATTATTCGTGAGCTCACCCGGAGACCGCTTTGTATACACAAATTGAAATTTGATCATCGATGGACCCTTTCCGACGAATCGGTTCCGTTTGGCGCAATTCGCCGAGCTCCTAAGCAGCTGGCGGAAGCGAAGGACGACCCGGAGACTCTCAGAAAGGGGAACAAGGGAGGGGAGTTCTCAGCATTTTCTGCTCCCAGTTGCGGAATTGCGATTCCCTCGCTGCGCCCGGAGATCGCATATTGAGGGAATGCCTCCCAATCTTAGCTAGACATTGATGTCTACTCCATAACTTCTGTATAAGAGCAGTCAGCTGGCGGTGTCGCCGAGATCCGGGGACGAGCTGTCTTTTGCTCGACTGCGGTCATTCAACAGAAATTCTTGCCGACGGGAAACGCAAGTCAACACCGTGGCGAGTTAGTCAGCCTGAGGGCTGAAAACGGCCGAAACTAAACGAGTTCACGCGTGTCAGAGGTGAACTGAAGACCAGAGAAAACACCGCTCGCTGATCATGAAAATGGAAGAAAAACCAAATTCACTCGGCAGCGCGACATCTATCATGTCTCGTCCGCGTACCCTCTTATTTTGGCGATTCGCACGAAAGCGTAGCCCGGGAAGAGAGAAAGCTCTCAGCTTGATGTCTAGCAGGGATAATCGTAATGTCCTGACTCGATCAATTGGAATTTCGTTAGCGAAGAGCTTCGCTCAGGGAGCCCACCTCAGCGATTTCGGGATATACATACAAGGTTACCTATATGAATCCTTGCTTCCTGGTCGCTGCGTCCGAGCGGGTGACCGGAGAGCGAAATTCCGTGATGGACGTATTTGACGATGAATAATCCTAACTATGTATTTCTTGGAACGCAAGTCGGACAGCTCTGTCTATTCACCCTCGAGCTACGCGAAACTACGACTACGCTTATGAGTCATGTCCAAACGTTTCCGGTTAGTCATACGTTAATCACCGTGGCAAGTTTTGTCGTCATCATTGTTTTGGCCGGCTCCACGATTACCATAGACTTACCGAGCGGATTCTTTCTGACCTCACTGAGAGGTTTATACCAGTGCGACATAAGGAGTTACCTCGTGCCATCGGCAAACGTTGGAATAATGTCGGAGGACCTTTTGAAACGGTGGAGATCCCACCTTGCGGACTGACATCTTGTACATACATCCATCGACTGTTCGAAAGGGTCTTTCGAATCGCGCCATTCACGTCTTATGTTACTACGAGACGATTATCCGACCGGATTCCAATTGCGGATCGATAGAAGAATCGCTGCGAATCCCATTGTTCGATCGAGCTATCAGTCCAGTTCGTTCGATTCATCAATCAAACTACGGATTCGTGGGATCTTCGTCTTGTAGGGTAAATCTATTTCAATTGGGGACGGAATACCCTCCACGGATATGGCTCCGATATGGGTCACGCACTTCAAAGAGACTCTTGTGAATTCAATTTTTTCTTTATTTTATTTTCATTTTTTCCATCGATGCCTCGAGAAATGACAGAATTTCCCACGAGCGTTCGACACAATTTCGGCGATGGATTTTTTTCGGCACTAGTGATGTCATTCACGGAGAATCATCGTGAGCTTCGCAGCGAACACCACAAATACACGCTCGATTTGCCATTTATTTTATCCTCCGGGTCCAAACTTCGGTCTCTGTGACGGAAGACGAATTTCTGTCCTCGACATCGACCATCCGCCTTCGGATTCCATCAATATAAGTCATCCCATCCGCATATCAGTCATATCTCCTCGGGCATACTGTTCAACCTCATCTTTTTGTTCCGTCTACACACACTGCCGATCATTTTCCATCGTTCCGCGCGAAGATTGCCCATGCTGCTTAATGCTGGAAAGAACGTTCGTTCTACGACCCGTGGAATCTCGGCGAAGGGTTGTCCAACAACATTAGCGCTGCATGAGCTCGACACTGATTTCCATCGTGTCCACGATGATCGGCGCTCATTATCATGGACATCAACTGGAAGATTCCGTCGGAGTGTGGAGCCGATGCCACTCGCTGCGAGAGCTACTTGTGATTGCGACAATCAGCCTCGTTGTCACCGTGTCGGTCAGCCGATTCAGACCACCCCTCATGATTGAGAGGAAGAAATAGAGTAGAGCCAGTAGTGATGATTTGCCATCGGACTACATATTTTCCTAAATGGTGGTAATTTCTGATCACCTCTCAAGCATCGTCCGACTCGACGATCCCTCAATATTCTTCCGCTGTCTCGGGCTGATTCCATCTTTCCGTCAACGCCGAAGCTGTCGCTCGGATTCCGGGGTTGTACCGGGTAGCCGCCCCAACTTCTCGTCCTCCTTTGATATCGAGAGTCAATCCCACTCCATACCTAAGAAATGAAAAAGGAGAAAGAATCAAGGAGTCGCGGAGGCTGAATCGATTTCCAAGCATGTGGGATGACAGCCGGCTGATACTCCAAACGATCCGATAAGCCAAGGGAAAAAAGAAGAGCGAGGCTTGATGCCCGGCTTGATGACTCCATGAGCGAAATCCCTGTCATGATCATTCGAATCAATCTGATCACTGATCATGAATGAAAGAAAGCGGACTCATCATAGGTACGACGGAGCTATCATCGAAGCCAAGACCTGCGGGGTGCGTCGTCCTTCGGCACAGGAACTCCGGAGACTGGAATTCCCGCTGCATTGGTCCGATCCGAATGAAATCGCAGCAAATGCAAGCATGCGGCGTGACAATTCCCTCAATCGTCCGAAGCTCCTCGAGTCGTGCCTCTCGGGTACCGAAGATTCATCTTGTCGCAGCGTGATCGAGCGACAACTACGACACTTCTCGGACAACGACGATCAGGACTGGCGATCATGGTTTGGACCTCCGATACAGCACATCTTGACGGACGCGCCGGTCTCGTTGCCGATTCGCCCAATCGGTGACCTGCTAATCTTCGCTCAAGACTCTCCCCATCGGACATTCGCAGCGGTTCCGGTTTCGCAAACTCCAGCCTTCCCTTCGAGTTTCCAGGCTGAGCACGGGAATATTAAAGGAATATCAAATTAAAAGATGCGGCGCTGCCAGATGATGCTTCACTCGCCCCGACGATGATTTTAGATCTCATCTGCGCTTTGTTCCTGACGACTAGTCGAAGTGCGCCGCAGTTTCTTCCACGCACAGGCTCGAAAAAATGACGGAAAATCGCAATTGTTTCTGACTCCTTCCTTCCTTGTCTCGTTTGCGTCGCGTCGTTTCGGCGAGCTCCGATCACGTGACGAGAATGCCCGATCGATTAGAATCAGAAAGTATATCGAAAGGTGTTCTGGTCGAACAGAAGTCCGTTGATTGAACGGTGGCGTCCCTTGCCGAATCTACATCATCGTTTCCTTCCATTCTACACGGCGGCGGTGAAAAGATGTTCGTCGCCATGAAGACGGTGGCGTCGAAAGAGAAGTTCCGTTCGATTTCGGCTTAGATTGGGGAAGTCATTGACAACAAGAAAACATGAAATTCGCTTCTGAAGCGAAAAGAAAAAATGAGGCCAGATCCGAAGCGATGACGACGCTGACAATATATCGGGGACATAAAAGAAAAGCCCTCGGGAAGAGCCCATGTCGAAGATTTGTTTGTTGTAGAGCATCGAGTTTTCCCTCCCCTTCACCCCTGCACCCGTTTCGAAACGAGGGCGGGAAAAAAACGCATTCGAAAGGGGAAAGATTTTCCCCAAGTTCACAAGGGTCGTGAGCATCGTTGGACGAGCTACGCAGTCGACAGGGATACCCCTCAGCGAGTCCCTCGATTCTGTGAGAGCATCCGTCTGAAACGAAAACGGGAGGGTCTTATCGGTCGTATATTCAAATGCTTCGATCTCATCCGGGGTTCTCATGCTGCCTATTTTCTTTTCAGGGAACTCACGAGGATCCCATTCTCTTCACGACGCAGTCGGACCCACTGACGGCGTTTTCATCTTTAGAGACGAAACGCTGGTCCGATCTTCGACTTGTCGACGGCGATCGACCGAACGAAGGTCGATTGCAGATAAGATACAAAAACGAGTGGAGATCCGTTTGCACGAATTCTCGAAAGTGAGTTCGCGGCTCGTCCGGAGCTGATAATTTTCCTCTGATGATGATCTTTCCGACACGTCCGTTGCTAAAATATTCCATCCTCCACAGCTGGACCCAAGTCGATCTCGGAGTAGTATGCCGACAGATAGGATTCGGCGGGGGCGGCCAAATATATCGATGGTTCGAAAAGTATAATCACACGGAGCAGCTTTCCCTGTGGCAACCGAACTGCAGGGGAGACGAGCCTCAGCTGCAGTCGTGCGGTGGCTGGGATAATCGCCTCCTCGGCAGCGGGATTTGTGGTAGGTGACCTCCGTAGTTGATCTTGCGCCGAGCCTCGACAAAGGATTCGATCGCAACTCGAACAGGAAAATACTTCCCTCATGGCTCCGGAAACTGTCCTTGCAGATTATCACCTCGACATCGGTATCCAATGCTCTTTGAAACTGGGCGTCGAAGCGGCGAAAAACTGGCGCGGGATTTCTTTCCTCAGAGCTCGAGCATCGAGACGCAAGAGATTCTCCAACCGAGTCGAAAGACTCATCTCAAAATCGGTGAGGCGTTGTTGTGAGAAATTTCTTCCCTTATCCTTCGCCTCTCTGGATTCGCTCCGGAGTTCAAGGAATCGCTTCACTGGATTGTGATATTGCTACGATCGTAGAAGTTTCTGGTGTTCTTCATGCCTCCGTGACCTGTCATCATGAGGTTCGGATGTTCCTCCATGTTAATCTAAGCTAAATTATTTGGAATTCGCTTCCATGAAGATTCTTCGCAACGTGACAATCCGTTCCGCTGGTCGCGATCGATTTGGGGAAGCTGTTCCAGCGCTCCAAGTCATAGGAAACCCGCCGGTCATGCAAGGCTTACGCGTTGAGGGCTCTGCGTTCACTGGCCTCAACGTGACTACGCCTGACGACTACTTTGTCGTCCAAGACTCAAAATTTGTCAACAATCGAGGTAAGATTACCCCGAATCAATGGGGGAAACTATCGGTAATTTTCGCGATTCGCAGTTTCTATGATTATTATTTGAGCTTGATTCCGAACATCGTGATTTTCGGCGGTTCTCGTGAATACAGGCGGAAGACTCACTGAAGTCTCACAGAGGGACTCACTCCCGATTTTCTGTCCAAAGATCGATTCTCGGTCGGCAGAATATTCTGTCAAGCGATCAGAGAGTAGGAGCAATTTCTCTCGGATCTCCATCAGTCGAGAAATTCGGTTTCTTCCCCGGGTCCGGAGTCCAGCGGATCATGACTGGGATATTCCTGCGGATTTCAGAAGCCAATCTTGCGCTAACTCATTTTTCTCGATATTCGACTCGATTTTAATGGACGTCGCGACATGAGTTTCTCTGCTCGCTTTCAGGCTACGGAATCTTCGTGAACTCGAGTCGACTGCAAGTCCATCTGCGCGGCGTCGAAGCGTCGTCTAATGGAGCTGACGGAATTCATTACACGTATCACGAGGCTCCCGTTTCTTCTTCTGAACAGTTTTGCTCTTCGCCCATGGGATCCGTCTTTCCCCAGAAATTCGTGCAGACCAGCACAGATGCGTCGCACGGTTGCACTCGGGTGAGTTGTCTGGCTGAGAAAAACATACGTACGATGAAAGTCCTGGATGAAAAGAGGAAATCGATCCATATACCGAGTATATATGGACCTGTATGGTATTATTCGCGATCTCCTCCTGTGCTGCCCGACTGCCCGGTAGAAGCGAACGTGTCGCTCATTCACTCTTGGAATATCTTCGGCTGTCAGTCGACTCGACTTAGAGTTTGTCTGGTCGCGCAAATCGATATCGGACCGCGGTGACTCCCATCACTGACACACTCGACTTTGCAGACGATCACCATTCCTCAGTTCCAAAGGAATAAAGATGAGGAATTGACTTTGCTGTTCAAAGACTTCCGGAGAGTTTCCCTGGATTGGGATGAAAAACTAAAGGACTATTTCAACCGGTGAGCACTCTTGTCCTCCTCGGTATTCCCGCTCGTTATCCCGATTCTTGTTCAAACGGAACCAATCTTATTCAAATACTTCCACCAACAGGCACAGTCCCGAGTCCGCCGATCCTACAGTGAGCGTTTATGATGGACCACGTCAGTACGAAGAGTTTCTTCTCGGAACATTCGTCATCAACAACGATACCCGACCCCATACTTTTTCCTCGAAACGAGGCTACAACGAGCTTACGGTGAGAATTAACGCCGGACTAGTGCCGAGCTCTAAGCTGCAAGGCAATCAGGCGATCTAATCGCCGAAACTCGTTCCACAGGTGGTGCACAGAGCGGCATCTCTGGTAGCCGTTACGTTCTCCCTCGAAGTTTATCTGGATCAGGGGAAAGTCCACGACGTCAACTGTACCAACTGCGATATCTCCAACAATAACGGTCGAGGCGTCTGGGCACGCGAGATCGTGTCAGGACTCGCCCTGCGCAAGTCGCGCGTAGCGAACAACGATCACATCGCTGGCGTCCACGTTCACAACGGGGTGGGCGACGTTATCCTGAACAAGACCACAGTAGCGAACAATATCGGCGACGGTGTCAACGTGACGTACGCCGGCGGCTATCGTCACGTGGAAGAATGCGTAGTCGAAAAGAACACCATGAACGGTGTCATTATGAACACGAACTACACGAGTCAGTACCTTTCGTTCAACCACACCGTCCATGTGACTCGTTCGAGAATTTTTGACAACGGGTTCGCAGGACTCTTCTTCGGGAACAACTGTCTCGCGGACGCGCTCTGGAACGTGTCGATGTCCACGTTCAGCGGAAACGGCGACGCTGGTGTTTTCTACGAGTCTTGCCATTTGACCAGCTCGAACATCTCGCTGTACATCACCCACAACAAATTCTTCGCCTCGAAGTATCTCGGCGTCAAGATTAAGCCCATCTACAACGTCTACGCCTTCGTAGAGAACAACCTGTTCCAGGACCATCTGAATGGGGCGCTTCTGATTTCGAACCAGGACTCCGACTGGAGCTATGCGAACCGGTCTGCATACGCGATCGTCAAGGAAAACTTGTTCCGCTCCAATGAGGGAAGTTTCATTGCCAAGGTCGGTGTCATGCAGGACTCCACCGTGCAAGAATTGCTCTTCATCAATAACGTCCTCGAACGGAATCGTGCCACGGAACTCTTCCCCGGACTGAAACCACGCTCTCGAGTCGCTGCCGTGGTGGCGGTAGAATCGAACAACACAATGATCTACCGGAATAAATTGTTCAACCCGGATTCGAAATACGAACTGGGGGTCCATCTCGAGGACAGCTCCAAGATCATCAACGCCACCCTCAACTATTGGAGCACTCCCGGTCGGGATGAGGGAGAACAACACGCCAGACAAGTCTACCTGAAGATCTTCGATAGGAAAGACCGCTACAATCTGGCGGCTGTCGAGTTCCTTCAGTACCTGTTGGTTCCGTACGATCTCAACTCGAGAGACCAAATCTCATCGCGGTACGATAGAGAACGCGTCATGTCGTTCGACACCCAGGGCAACACCAACGAGATCGGGGGTGAAATCGCAGGCGATTTCCAAATCGGTCCCGGCGACTACCTGGTCAGGCGGGACATCTACGTGAAGTCGAACGCCAAGCTCACAATTCATCCTCAGACGAAACTGCTATTCGAGCAATCGATCGGTCTCATGGTCCAGGGGGAACTGAGAGCCATCGGTCACGCTCAGGAGAAAATTCACTTCACCGCATTCTCCGACCCGGTCGCTCACGAGATTCCCTACGACGAATCTTTGCCGCTGGGCTCGCCGATAAGCCTCTCACAGGGAACCTACGGCCGGGTGGAAGTCGTCGTGAACGGCAGGAAGGGTGGAGTCTGTAGTCATGGATTCGGGAGACGCGAGGCCGCGGTCATCTGCCATCAGCTCGGTTTCATCATGTCCGACCGAGACTGGCAACTCGAAGAAATCGACATGCCCGACACTCCGATACCCGCGGTTGTCTCCGATGTCAGGTGTCGGGAGGAGGACAGGAACTTCTTCCTGTGTCGACACCGAGCCCTAGACGACGTTTTCGAATCGAATGCTTGCACGCAACTTGTCGGCATCCGGTGTTTCAGAAGCTCTTGGTCCGGCATTCGACTGGGTCCCGCGGCCCGTCGGTCCGCCATCGAATTCGCGGAGATCTCGTCGGCGGGACAACTCGACTATTCCACGCACAAGTTCAAGCCTGCCCTGCAGATCGATATGAACAACCACGAAATCAAGAATGTCCGCATCGACAACAACATGGCGTCTGGTATCGGTATTACCTGGAACAATATTTTCGCCCAGAAAAGGAACCCCTCAATCCAGATGTGCACCATCGAGGGCAACAACAAACACGGAATCGAAACCCGGGCTCAAGGTGTAGAGTTGTCGAAGAATACAATCCAGAACAATGAGGGCGCTGGAATCTTCTATAACCCAGTGCTCACGAGAAGCGAACATCTTGAGATGCGGCAGTGGACTCCGACGGAGCTGAGTGTCTCGATCCCTCCCGCCGATCGACGGCCTCAAACAGTGTTCTTGGAGCAGGACCAGGCGAAATTTTTAATTTTGGGAACCACCGAACCCAACGTGGAATTCGAATTCGAGATCAAATGCAGAGACAGCTTGTCGATCGGGATTCTTGTCATCAGTCCGTTCCAACTGGAGTCTACAGAAAACGTGACATTCAGCAAGGGACGTCGAGGCTCGATCAGGGAATGGCATGAGACGTGGGATCTGAAGCGCAACTTGACTTCGTTCCCGCTGCGTGAAGCCGGCTATGTCGTGGCTGCAAGATACTCCAGCGGTCCGAACCCTGTTGGGGGCGCTGTTATCTACCTGCATCCATCAAATCCTCTGGGTGAGCTTTCCCTATTCTTCCTTATTCCCCAGTCACTGTACTCAAGGAAACCTACCCCAATATGAGATAGTCGTCAACTCCTATCGGCGAAAAACGCAGTCCCCGATTACCTTCCCACGGTACCGCAATTCTCCCCGAAGAACGTGGTGCAGATCCTTATGTTCATCGACCTGTCGATCAATGTTAGCCCTCACGTAAAAGTATTCGTGTGTGTGTGTGTGTGTTGGTGTGCGTCTAATGAAGATTCCTGCCGTGTTTTTTGTGTAGGTGTGTCGAAACGTGAAGATGTCAGCTCCATTTCTAGAAACACAAATATCGCGTCCGCAGCTAGGACAACGTCAGGTAGAAACACCCGCAACAACAACCCGAACAAAAAGCGTATTTTGCAAAGCCTGATCCAGAGATCGTATCGTGCAGGTAGATTTCTCATGGTCAAGCCTTGCACGATAATAAAATGGGCTTCTAATGGAGTAGGGAGCATGTAGGACTTCGTTGGTCGAACCAGCTAGATTAGCTTTCTTGGAAGAGTGACTCGTGTTATATTTTGGAAGTTCGGTAGCAAACTCGGACAGGGAATTCAAAAAGAAATTCCCATGCTTCAACAACACATGACAGAGATGTAGTCACGAATGCTTGGCACGAATGGTTCCTTGTCTCACGCAAGACACACTCTTCGGAAGATTTCAAACTCACCCCCGCCAGAATCCCATCACCTCTTTCTGCATCTGCGACTGATCGGATCAGTCACTCTCGAAACCTCTTCCCTGCTAGACTATCGTTTCTGTACCCCTCCTTCACCTTTTTCCTTCGCTGTATCCTTTCTGGGCGATGGTTCGCCATATCTCGGCACGGTAGCCCCGGTATCTCGCGTCGACTAAGACTGGTTTTCCTCCATTCAAAATCAGGTATGGCCACGTACTACGGCTGGTTGGAGTATATACCCTCGATTCAAATCCTTGGGAACACTCTGGAAAACAACCTGCATGCGTTCTGGAGTTCGCATTTCAACCGAGATCAAGGACAGGATGGCGAGTTCTACAATCGATACTCAAACGAAACGATTTACTTCGCCAAGAACATCCTCAAAGGCTCGAGAAAACAGAGCGTCTACGTTTCGACACCGCACTGGGATCCCCTTAGGTGAGTATCTCGGCCGTATTCCGCCCAGCGGGTTCCGTCTTAATTCATTTTCATGAAGAGGGGACCAAAGCTCTGGAGTAAAAAGACGATGGAATTTCTGAAAGCGAATTCGTCTGCAGGCATCAACTGGCAGAAATCAACTATACCCTTATCGACAACAACATTTCAAAGAACTTCGGCGGTATATCGCAATATTCACGGGACATCCGCTCATCGAACAATCTCTACCACTGGACCTTTGCAAACTGCACCATCACCGAGAACCAAGGCGGTATCCAGCTGCGCTTGCCTTACGTTCTGCAGTACAACGAGAACTTTACCCATTCGATCGTCTTCGAGAACAACTATTATCGAGACAATAAGTGAGTTCAGCCGTGGATTCTTCCAAAATTTTCCAAGCGAGACGGAATCCCAGCCCCCTACAGGAAGGCACCGAGAGATTTCAATTGACTGTGTGTGCTTCATCTATTTCGGTATTTTCCTATCGGTGGTCATCCCTTGACGAATAATTGAACTATCCACAGATGCGGAATCCACCTTGACGGACACTTCGCTCGAGTCAATATCACCTCCAACAGTCTGACCGGGAACGAATGCTCTAAGGGGGTATTCACCATCAGCGGCATGGAAAAGGTTCGATCACTGTGAAGAGTCTCAATTCCTCTCCCTCCTCTCCATGCCCACGAATGACTTGAGCGATTCCCACAAAGCTGACTCGCAAACTTTGGATTCCAGGAATTACTGATCGCAGAAAACGTCATGGAGCGAAACACCGCTCGCTATGCTTTCGAGATCAATATGCAATCCCACTCGGAAGAATTCAGTCAGGTAAGAACTGAGAATTCCTGCCCAGGACGCAAGCACTTCAGAACAATGTGGACGTAACTCTCGTCTAATCCTGGACATTCTTTCGGATTGCCCGGAATTGACGGTCAGAACTCCTCGTGGGAAAACTCTGAATGATCGGGAAATCTTTTGTAGGTGCCTGCAAACTTCTTCGGGAATATCATCCGGGACACCGCGCCTTTCTCGACGGGGAAATACTCCATTCAGACTGATGGCGTCGCATACCAACCGAAGAGCTACGCGCTCGCTCTGAAAGGCGTCCAGCAATTCAACATCTCGAGGAATGTGTTCGAGAACCCTCTCATGGAATTCGAGTTCGTCGCTGGAATAACCGCATCGTCCATCACGAACACGCTGAACGTGAAGTCCAATTACTGGGGGACGCCGAGTGTTGCGAAAATCCAGGAAAGAATCTTCGATTTCGACGATTGGAACAGTTACGCCATCGCGGATTTCGTGCCCTTCCTAGGTAAGCACAAACTCGATGACAGTATTGGAAGAGTTTGGAAAGCCTCTCTCCCGGGGCACATGCGGCCTCGTACAAGCCTTCAAAGTGCCAGAGATCACAAGAGGGTTATTTTCCCCGTCAGGATCTGCTAGCGCGACCGCTGTCCTCCTCTACGAAGATCTCACTCGTTTGGTGGTGGATATCAATAAGCCATTGGGCGGGCGCCTGTACACGAACCTGACGCTGACCGAACGGGATCGTCCTTATGTTGTCAAGAGCGACCTGACTATCATGCCCGGAGCTACCCTGACAGTCACCGATGGGGTAGTTGTTGAGGTGAGACTGTTTCCGTGGAAGCATTGCGATCTAATGTCTCGAGAGGGATCCTTTCAGCACAAAATTCCTCGACAATAACTCGCATATTCGCTCAGAATGCATGGCCATGTCTCAATTCTGTGAACCTCTCCTAGGTCTATCCCAGCGTCGGGATCCTGGTCCTCGGCAACCTCAACGTGATGGGTCGCGATCGGAATCCTGTGTTCTTCCAGCCGGCTCGGAACCTCTTGACCAATCGTTACGTCCAGAAACGCCAATCGATCCTCCGCGAATTTGACGATCTGTCCGTCCGTCTCTGCACGGATCAGGCTTGCGACGATCTGAAGCGACGTGACGGCTTTGTCGAGGTTTTCAATAAGACCACCCTGCAGTGGGTTCCGATCTGTGACCCGCGTTTCACCGAACGCACAGCTCAGGTAGTCTGCTCGGCTTTGGGTCACAACCAAGTGAACGTCCAACTGCACCGGGGACCGCGTCTGGATGTGGGAATCAACGAAATCTCGAGAGTTCGTTCGTGGACGCATCCACTCGAATGTACGGGAGAAGAGAACAGTCTCTCCGAATGCGAGTGGCGACTCAACGGATACGGTGTGAAAGACTATTCGTGTACCTACCTCGGGGAGGACTTCGTTTACGTTCACTGTGGCGATCTGAACCGATTCCCCGACGAAGAATACTGGGGCGGTATCCGATTCTCGGTTCCCGACAATCTTGCCGAGTCCCAACGACTGCAGCAAGACCATCTCGCGCGTTTCAGTCAAAGCTCATCCTCGGTGCAGTTCGCAGTGATACAGGGCGCGGGTATCCTGCACAACGAGAAAGCGGCCGCTCTCCAGGTGGTACAGCGCAAGGTCACGGTGCAGCTGTGCAACATCACCCAGAACGCCCACGTGGGATTAGAGATCATCGCCTCTCCCGGATTCCAGTTCGTACACGGCGTGAACTTTACGAACAACCTCGGTCCCGCGCTGAATATTCTCACTCTCCACGGTCAGACAAACGACCGGGACTCGAACTTCCTACCCCTGAAACGGATCGATATACCCTACAATATATTCGGTCTAGTGGACATTTGTGACAGCAACAAAGAATTCCACCTGAAAGGTCGCATCTTGTTGTACTACAAGTACGACTCGAAACCGGTAGATTGCATCAAGATCTTCCGGACCGACGTGGCGACAATCGGTTTCCGGGTTCTTCAGTTCAATCTCTTCAACGCGACCAATTACTCTCCGAACCCCGATAATATCGAACTGTACGACGGAGATATCTTCAATTACACATCACCCCTGCTCGGAACCCTGTATCCGAATCACGACCAGAGAGCTTTCTACGAAACTCGACTCGGTCGAACTCTGAGCGTCAGGCTCCATGCGACAGGCGGCAGCGGCGAGAATGGTTTCATCGCCGAAGTTCTTCCGTTGCCCGCAAGGACTCTCGCCGGAAGAGAAATCATGCACAACGTGACCGCGTGCCACTTTCTGAACAATGAACGTGGCGCGGTCGCTTACAGGTCTGCCGGGGAGATCACTCCCACGATCGGAATTCGTTACAACAGGGTCGAGCAGAACGGGCAACAGCTGTTCGGAAACTTTAGCTCTGTCGAGGGGTCACTGTTCCTTGACGTCCAGAATGTGTTGCATCTCGACGTCATAGAGAACACGGTGCTCGGGAATCAGGGTGGACTCTTCGTAAGGATCGATTCGGACCATTCGGTTTCCGCTGTGAAAGCTATTGTTCGAAACAACCTGTTCTTCAAGAACTTCAACCGGGAAACGGTCGCCTTCCTGGGAGGCAAAGCGGGCTCCCTGCAACACGTCCACATGTTCCGCAATTACATATCGAAGAACCAAGCAGAGTTTTTCGATAATATTGTGTTCTACAAGGTGTCGATGAACTTCAGCGAGAACCTCGTTGTGGGGAACAGAGGCCGTCATCAGCTCGCTGTGTACGGATTCAAGAAACAACTTTCAAGCGATCAACTGGCCTACATGAACTATATCTGGGATAATGAAGCAACGCTGCCGGAAGAAAAAGCTACGATTCTGGCAATGTCGCCCGGTCAGATCTACCGCCACAACTACCTCTTCAACAGGATGAATTATTTCGAGCTGGTCGTCGCCAATAGATCTGTGTAAGTGTTGACTCGTAATCTTGTCCGAATCACCCGTCTTCCGAACTTTTCCCGATGGAGAAGTTCATTTTGTCTTTTCGCCGTCTTGCAGGAGCATGGATCAGGAAAGTCGAGACTACATCTATCAGCACCAGCCGCTCCACGAGATCCGAAGGGATCCAATCTTTGTTGATGCCACCAATAATTGGTGGGGCTTTAGTGAGCTCGTCTCGGTGTCAGGACGGATCAAAGTGAGCACTCCAGACAACCTCTCTTTTACTAGGAGAAGCTCATGGCATAGTTTCTGGGTGGTGATACAAGTGTTGCGTTCGCATTCCAGGATTCCCTTGACGAGCCGGAGCTGTTGAAGGTGCAATTCGAGAGATATCTGTCTTCGAATGCATCTGTGATAGACGGTCACTGCGTCGGGGGCTGGAAGAAAATCGGGAATACTTGCTTCCTCTTCGTTCCTGCCCGTATGAATTACCAAGAAGCGAAGAAATTCTGTCAGGTGATCATTCGAGCATTCTAATTGTCCTCGGATGGCGGGAAGATCGCTGGCTGCTCAGACCATCTTATCATGATATCTCCCGTCGAGTTTTTTCCAATGAGCACCGATTTCTTTCAGGCTGATGCCGCATCTTTACCGTATCTCAAGGGCCGGTATGACATCATCGAAGAGTATATCCTGAGTATTCAGGATGACTTCGATATTCTCTATGACAAGGTTTGGGTCCAGTCTATCGATGTTCCGTTGGACGAATGCGCAGTGCTCTACAAACAGAGGATCACGACATACGATTGTCAGGAAAGATTACCATTCCTATGCGAAAGAAGTGAGTCATTGGATCAGGGTCTCAACCTAAACATGAACGTACCCATCACGAAAAAGGAGAGTCCAGCCTGCGATATATATGCCCGCATTTGACTGACCATTGTGACTCAACAGCGCAAGAAATTTTCATTTCGCTGGGGGACCAGTGGTACGTGGACCCGTTGTCCATCGCCGCGATGTCGGTGCTGCTTATCTTGCTCCTCGGTATCGCGCTGTTCTCACTGTTCTGGTGCTGTAAATCACACGAGAGGCATTTGGAAAAGATGGAGCGGCGAAACTCTATAAGGGCATCGATACGTTCTAACCGAGGATTTGAGTACCAGGTGAGCAGCGAATTAGTCTCAGAAGACCATGCACGCGGACACCCTCGAGCCATCTCCGAATCAGCGTTTTTTCTAACGGTATCCACGTTCATGTGCTTTGCAGGGATCTTTGGATTCCGTGACGAAACTCCCCTTCAGCACCCGATCTCAACAGACTTTGGACTACAGCGACGTCGATGAGTTAGATGACAAGTTTGCTCATGATCCCCAACTAGAGAACGCCAACATCGATGAGCTGGTCAAACCTTCGTTCAACATGACCTTCGAAAATCAGGGGTGAGTTCCGATTCTATTCGACCGCATCCTGGAACACTCGGGGCCTTCCGAAGAGCTGGCGATCGAGCCGACGACGGGTTAAGATTCGATGGAGGGAAGATCTTCGTTCACTCCCTTGCTGGTGCACAATTAACGATAATACTACTCCCGGCAGTTATCACGACCAGTCGAGGGACAGCAGGGACTGGTCACAGGGTACTGGGTCTACGTTGGACATGAAAAGAGAGATAGAAGCAGAGAGGCCGCGAGCCGGTGAACGAGGCAAGATCTCACGGGATCACAATACGTTCACGGCGCCCGCCTACGAGATGAAGACTACTCCCGTGCACAGTAAGTTCTGGAAGGATTGATCCCCCTTCGAGAACATGCAGATTGAATCTGTCTGATAGCGAGGCCGACACGACAAAACGCAGAAGTCCTCCATGTATTCATGCTGGCGCATCATTCGGATAAAATATTTTCGAAACATGTACAGGGAATCAAGAGAATCGTCGAAAGAGCGAGAAGAGAGTCGAATTCCATCCAGAAGTCAGAGTCGTCCTTTATCCGGACGACGAAGATTCAAGAAAAGATCGCGATCTTTCTAGGAGGGGCACCATTTGAGAAGGGGATAAAATCAATCGAGTCATTGGATCCGGAAATTTTGATGGAGTCCAGAGAGGCTCAGAAATCGCAGAGGCCTCGCAAGATCATGCCCAATTTTCACCGAATTCAGAATTCAAATCCCTCATCCCCCATGTTTCCATCGCATCATTGGCGAATCAATGAGCCGCGCCTTCTCCACGCTGTCACGAGAATGATCATGCTGACGACTTACACGATATGTGCTTCGGGATGCTCATGAATCGTTCTCTTCACAGAACCACCGATCCATGAGTCCACGCAGAAACTCCCTCCTGCGCCTCCCACGCCACCGACTCCGATGGAGGACGTGGCTACATTGCCGCTGACGAGCGGCTCAGTCTTACGTGAGTTCGGAGTATCAATAATAATCAGCCCCATTGAACAATGTCGCACTTTGATCCGCTCGAAATCGCGAGCCCTTGCCAAAGGAGCTGGTGTCCTCAGCTCAAGGATTAATGCTCTTCTAGATCCTTCGCCGACGAGGGTTGCCCCACCTCGACCGACCGCGAGGCCGCCCCAACCTCCCGCTCCCAGCTACGAGAACGCTCCTGCCATGGCTTTCAGTCGTGAGCCTCCACGTCCGGATCAGCCCAAACCAGAGGCGGCTCTACGGCGTCGAGAGGAAGCTCTCAGAGCGAAAGAACTCTCGAAGAGCCTCGAGCCTCTCAGGAGTGAGGAAGTTCAAGGAGGACGCTTACCATCGAGAAGTCTCAACGCATCGTCGGGTTCATTGAAACCAGCACCCCTAGAAACGGCAATGTAGAGTATGTACAGTGAGAGAGAGAATTTTCACGCTCGTCTAGAAGATTTCCAATTTGAAAGTGGTCAGGTTGCCGGAGCTGAACTGCCAAAAATACTTCGATGATCGACGAGGGGGACGAGGACTACTACGAAAACCTGCCTGAAAGAAGTGTACATAAGAAATTCTAGATATACTCAGAGCCGACAATGCTGAGCAATGATCCATAGCTAGCTATGTAGATTACGAATGTCGAAATGAGCACCCACTCACTGTCCTGAAGGGAATCCGAGTCGTAGAGACAGTACTATGGGGTGCTCGGAGAGCTGGAAGGCTCGGACGGATGGGAGAACTCCAGAGAGGGATTCTCGGAGTTATTCCCTTCTCTCGCAGAAAGAATAGTATACGATTGTAAGTTTTTTTCATCTCTCGATTCATCTCTTCACTCTCAAGCCTAGTCAAATCAGATCTGTTTATTCGATCTGACCGGATCATTTACATCTGCATTTACTCCCGCTATCAAACTGAACGGGGGAGGACGGAAGACGCTCTATGAGCGATGGATTAATTTGTCCGAAGTGACGATTGTTCAAGTTGTGGGGGAGCCTTCTGTTCGAATGGCTGTCGGTCCAAGGATCTGACGCTATTTGCCAAAGCATCAAATTTTGAGACAGGAGTGTTTATGCCTTACAAGCAGTGGAAACAGAGAGATACACTTTTAGAAGAATCATTTTGATATGGTAGGTAGATGAGCTCACCGAGCTCGGCCTCGATTCTGAATGAATGCATTTCTTATTTGGATGATACAGGGATGTTTCATGATGATTGATTGATGAATGTTTACACAGAGATTCAGATCCCTGCAGTGATTCTGAACGGCATGTGCTTTACCGGATAGGATGTGCTAGCAACGCAAATGAATAAGTAAGAAAACAACGAATCGGATGCAAGTGTGTATATCCGTACGAGTATGTGTTTGCTAATATAACATACTCGACGAATGAATGAAGTCGGTATCGAATAAAGTTCGCCTATTTCTTACGATTTGTAGACACTGCAGTCTCCATGAGCTTCGTGTTTTCCGCTTGTAGCTTCCCTTTTGGTATCAGGTTTCACCTTCCCACCACTTTACAGTACCAACCGTGTTATTCTTTGAGTCGCTCATTCGAGCTTTTCTAGGGGATTTCAACGGCATCTCCCACGAATCGATTCCTATGATCGGATTCCCGATCACCGGAAAGAGTGTCAACGGCCGACTCGAATTCTTCCCCTTTATCGGACGCCGGTTCTTCAAGGAAGAAATGAGACGAGATGCCCATATGGTTTCGATATATTCGTTTCCTTGACGTCGACGACAGAACGCGGCGGCCATGCTCCTCTCATTTTCGATCAGTTCCCAATAACAATTCCTGTCTATTGCGTGGGATTCGCTATGATTTCTCTCCGAAAGACTGAGAATTCCTGCCCTTTGTAGAGATTCTTTGAGGGAAAATGTCCTGTCTAGTCTCGCTCTCGGATGGCTTCGGTTCTATCATCTCGGGTCAGGGAGGCTTCCCTGTGGAAAATGCCATCGTAAGTGGGGACGGAGACGAGATGACGAAGAAGGTCTGAAGCGAGCCTCATCCGGAAAATGACACTCGCCTGATAGCTCTCAATCCTCCCCCGCAGTAGCAACGTCACATCGAGGGTCGTATCACTCCGTGAGTCCCGCACCATCTCACCGACTTCTGGTCGAAGTTCCCCATCGGAGGGAGTGCCGACGGAAGGGGCGACCCCCAATTCGAGATGAGCTCCATGCTTTGCGGATTCCCGGCCTCGATTTCTGATCATGGATGACTATGGGCGAGACTCTCCCGGGATCCGAATCCTCTGATCAAACGAAGGAGCGGGCGAGAAGCAACAAACTGAAAAGCAGAACCATTCCGAGCCTAGAGAATGCGCCTTGTAGTTATTTAGTAGAAACGAGCAAGGTGAGCGAAGCCTTCTCGGAAAGAAGGAGGCATTCGGCGGATCATGGAACTCCGTTATCAACCTACGGTCATCTCGACTCGAGAAGACGCGTCGACTGCGCCTCCGCACGGACTCTCACACGGTCGAGTACCTGCTCCGAGTCCGTTCGCATGCTGGAGGTATCGTTCGAGGTATCGTTCGGATGATAAGCGCGTCAATCGAGACTTATTGATTATTCAGCAACACAGATGATCGAAGGCAGAGGTTGCGGCTCTGTCTTCCTGAATGAATTGGTTTCAATAGAAGTTTCCGAAACGACAGCGAACAGTTCCCTCGACAGCGATAAGAATAATAAGGTCGCCAACCTATCTCGAGTGTGGTGAGAGTTTGACCATGCTTGAGATCCTGGCCCGGGCGATCTCGAGGCTCAGCATCCCTGGAGCCCGTATTGCGAGCTCTGATGATACATGGCCAAAGTTCGATTATCGGATATCCGTCACACTAATCACATGCGCGATGGTCTCCGCATCTCGAATGATGCCTTACAAAGGACCGATTCGAAAACAAGAATCATAGACGATTCTCTTGCTGGGTACGCTCGAGAATCCCGAGAAATCAACCTGTCGATGAATTACAAGAGATTTCGATTGGATTTGAATTTCAATGATGATGAGGGTTGGAAGCGAGCAAAGCCTCCTACCTTGAATCGGTCGTCGGTAGGGTGTTCCCAAGTTCAAAGGAAGATTCTGGGTATGAAGTTCGCAAAAGGAGGAAATAACAAGGTCACAGGAACCGGCTAGTCGAAAAAAAGATCGGACTGCGTGGCTTTGCTCAGGTTGGACCGGTTGGATTGGAGAATCAAGCCGAAGGACTCAAAATCCTAACGCCGAGCAGGATGATAGAATTGATCTGGTGCAGAATGTTATCAAGATTGAGGTCAATGCCTCCCCGGAGGTGACTTCCGACTCGGAAATCAGCCGCATAGGGAGATAAGACCTGCCGCCCAATTCGTACCCTGATGCAAGCGACCACAGAGCATTCGGCACGGACATTCCACGATCTCTGAGGAGTCTGAGCGACCTTGAATCGTCGATGACGAATTCACTGAGCTGCCGATAGTATCAGAGTTGGAGAAAGAAATAGGAATCGAAGGGAGGGGCCAATATATGTATTTCTTATCCATCGAAGACGGAAGGAACGTTGCGCTTTTCAGTATGATGAGCTTCGAGATTCTACCACCAGGAGGCTCTGCTCCCAGGCCCTCTCCACATCTGTGGATGTCTATGTGAGTGTTTGGGTATGTCCTCTCCCACAATCACGCAGATGTGTGTTCTTCTTGTTCTCTGATGCCGGGGTGGCTATGGAGTCGATGTTTTTATAGTTTGGCTGCCGCTGTCCAGCAAAAGCCGCTCACGTTAAGTGTCGGAATGGTTTTACCCCTAAGTGCTCGACGTTCGTGAACTCCAAGTTCTGCAAAAAGTTCCAAGAGGTGTCATTGACTGACACCGTCGTGTCGGAGTTGTTCAGTGCATTGGTGAACTTCGTCCTCCACGGATAAACTTTTCGTGAAGTCAACTACACTGGAGTTTTCACTAGTTTAGTTCGTATTCGGGCGTCGTCTACACAGTTCAAGCACACGCAATCGTATGCGTTCGTAGCAATTACGCTCACTTATCAACATGAGGATTCCGACCGCGGCCTGCTGGAATCCGAAGCTGGATGAACACGTTCTCGGTCAATTCGGTGAGTTCGACGTGAACCCTACGTAGAATACCTGCGCTGCAGCTTCAGACTCTCGACCGGAACGGCATTGAATGGAAATCTGTAGACGAAAAGGTTCCGATGGCCGACGAATCACGGAATCGTCGCAGAGTCGACATCTGATGTCGTTCGACCGACAGCGTTCAGAGAGTGCCTTCGGCTCGATCTTAACATCTGTTGGCTGGGCCTTTGCTTAATGACACATTGGAACTGCGACGCGCATCTTTTCCGTTTTCTGGGCGTACTCTTCAAACGAGTTTGCTTTTATTTCTACCTTCTGATCGGCTCGAGGAATATTCAGCGAATGATGGAGAAGTGCATTTTCAATACAGCTGACGAACGTTCGAATCGGTCCAAATGTCGAAGAGAGTAAACAACTAAGGAATCGATCATCATCGAATCCGTGAAGCTATCTGAGTAGGTAGAGAGAATGTTCCATGGAGGATGTTTCTCCGCTCAACATTCGAAAGCAGCTGCTCTGACTTCCGTCGATTCAACCTGATCCATCTTTCTCCTTGAGTTGCTTTGGTCCTCCACCCATCGCTGAGCAGGACCGAATTACGTGAATCGCTCTCCATTCCGATACTCGAAATTCATCTTTAGAGAACTATCCTTATCTCTTGGGATTTTCGGAGCATCAATCTTCTCTCGTTTCAAGATTGATACTATCCGCTATTCATCGACTGGATCGTCCGTTGGACTCGGGAAGCGACATCTCGGCTTTGACATGAACCGTGATAAGTCAGCGGATATCGGTGACCTGCAGATTTCTTACGAGATCATCGTTTTGGGGACAGACATCCAGACTTTCGTTCGACACTGGCTGGAATAGAAGCTCCTGAATTGAGATTCCTCGAATGGAGACACTGTCTGCTCTTATTCGTCATTATCATGACTCCATCGAATTAATCTTCCCGCATGGAGGAAAAAGTAATCTGGCTGGAGGATACGTGACCCTTTCGTGATGTTGCCGACGGAAATTCGTTCAGTGGCCATCTGGATCGAAGCGTGCTTCCAAACCGTGGACCAGTCGACCCGGCATTGCCGCCGCCGTCGCCTCACATTGTTTATATACAGTCAAGTGCCGCTAAGTTGGAGCTCCTATAAGTTGGAAAACTCCTCTAACTTATAATTTAGAGTCGCTTTTCTCATGGTTTGCTAAGTAAAAGCATAGACCCCGTGTTGACTCTCTCCTCTAACTTATAAAACCTCCTCTAACTCATAATTTGGAACGATTTCGCCGCCCTAAGTTGTAAAGCGCGGAAAAATGATCCACACAGCCAAGGTTTAACGTCCCGGGTACTGTTATTCACATTGCTTCCGAGGACGGATCCATAGAGCAAAAATGTACCCAGGAGGATCGAGGCCGAGTACCTGCGTTTCCGTAAGGAATATTTTTCCGGCAGCAGGGATCGAACCCACACCGCCTTCCGCGCGAGCGGCGTCGTTGCGGCTATGCACGTTCGCACGAGTAGCGACAAAAGCGCTAACCACTCGACCACCCGTCGGTTCAACCAACATGACTATGACGTCTCAATGCACACGTGCTTCTGTCTGATGTTCGTCGTGCGTGAGCTTCTGTCAGCTACTTTTGTGGCCAGTTTCGGTGAAGGGAGGGAGTGAGGACCATGCCCACCAACACGAACTTAAGTTTGAAAGACAAAGTGGAAGTTCTGGGAGAACTCGAAGCAGGTAGAAGTAAGCTCGACGTAAGAAGAGATTGGAAGATCTCCCAGGCTACGCTATACAATATCAAGCGAGATGCCGAGACGATACGAGCACAAGCGGCTCTGAGACGAAGCGCGAAATGCAAGCGGTTCAGGAAGTCGAAATTCGGAGATGTCGAGTCTGCTCTCTTCAAAACCTTCAGAGAAGCTCGTGCGTCCAATCCTACCCTGCCGATTTCTTCATCATGGCTCCAGGAGAAAGCTAAGTCCCTAGCAGCAGAGCAAGGCGACTCCGATTTCAAAGCTTCGAACAAATGGTTGGAGGGTTTCAAGCAGCGTCACCGCTTATCGTCAAAGCGAACATGTGGCGAGGCAGCCAAGGTCAATCAAGAGGACGTGAACCAATGGCTGGAGAACAATGAAGGGATCCTGAACGATTACTCCTGTGAAGACATATTCAACGCGGACGAGACAGGTTTCTTCTACAAAATGATGCCGAATCGGACGGTACATTTCAAAGGAGAAGCCTGTCATGGTGGAGAACAAGCGAAAGATCGGTTCACGGTTTTGCTCTGTGCAAACTTCGCGGGCACCGAAAAATTGCTGCCCTTGGTGATTGGTCACAGTAGAAACCCCCGATGTTTTCCGAAATTGGCGAAGCGCGAAGCCTTCCATGACAGCGCGAAGCTGGGTTGCCACTATCGATCGCAGAAAAGGGCATGGATGGATACAGCGATCTTCACCGAGTGGCTCTTGAAGATTGAGGGAGATTTCAGGAAGCAGAAACGCCGAGTACTTCTGCTCCTGGACAACTTCAAAGGTCATGAGGTGGATATCGAACTCAATCACGTCAAGATTCTCTTCCTTCCTCCGAGGACCACATCGAAATCGCAGCCCATGGACCAGGGCATCATTTGTAACGTGAAACAGTTGTACAAAAAAAAGCTGGTCGAACATTACTGGGCCATGGCACAGGACGGTCAAGTGAAGGAAATAAATTTGCTCCAGGGTATCCGGTTCCTGAGAGAGTCATGGGATGATGTCAAAACTTCCACCATATTCAACTGCTTCAAGAAATGCCTCCCGAACGTTCGGAATGCCAGCGCTCAAAGTGAGAACAGCGATGACATAGACGAACCGGATCGAATGATTATCCGAGACTGTTTCCCCATTTCCATGACTTTCGGGGACTTCGTTCAGGCTGATCGGCAACTTGTGACTTCCGATGATTTCGAGCCTGAACACAATGAGGTCCTCAGCGAAACCTCGGATGAAGAACCCGGGTCCCCCTTCGAGGAGCCCAGTTGTGGTTTCGTGACCGGCCAAGAGGCTCTCCGAGCCTTGGCTACATTGGTCAACCATTGCTCTCAGAGACAAAATATTGTTCCAGGGATCAGCAGGGCTCTACATCAGTATCGAGATCTTGTTATTTGTGACATTCTACAGGAAAAAAGACAGGCAGATCTTCGATATTATTTTTCGAAATCGAAGCCTTAGTTGTTTGGTTGTATTTTGAAGACGAGAATTGTATTGATGGGGACTGACTTTGTTCGGAACGGTAGATAGTAGAAACTGAGTACGGTACATAGTCAGGACTCTCCATAAGTTAAAAAACGTAAATCCGCATGGAGAAGATGGAATAAATTAAAGCAGATATCCGTTCATGATCACTATCGTCAATTTTATGCCTACATTCATGGAGGCAGATAATAATCAGCGCGCATCTGTCCGAATTAATCCGGTCTAGATTGACCCTCCCCTAACTTATAAGTTAGAAAAATATTCAAACCCTACTCCCGAATTTTACAAGTTAGCGGCACTTGACTGTAATTCATCTACTCGTACATAGACCTTGCACAGCACAACACGAATTCCTGCACATATACAGATCGAGAGAAACTTGGAAAGCTTCGTTCAGACAATCGGTCCTCGGGGCGTGTGGATTTCCTCCGGGGATACCCCGCTCCTCCCAATGGCGGCCTGGGCACATCCGCGTCTTCACCCGTGGGTGGGTGGAGTAAACGCATGCCCTGGTCAGTATGCTTGTTCGTGCACCTTCGGATGCTTTCGCTAATTTCGTGACACTACTAACACATTCAATTCATCCACACTAGAGCTGCGGCTCATCCCGGTCATGTCATGAGTCGGCTCTCCGACGTAGGTTCTCACTAGAATGAAGTGACGTATACCCCCTGTTCTTTCAGAGGGTTGGCGAAGTTGAAGAGATATGCAGGGATTCCAGTGGGAAGAGAAGTAGATGATTGATAGACTTCGTATCGAACGGAAATGTGAACTCGACTCTCCTTGCCAATACGGCGGGAGCGAACACTTCCCATGTACGACGGGCATATTGGAGTATCCATGTATGGAAATATATCGTCAGAATCGCACTGACGTTGAAATCCATGTCGACCGGTATTCGGTTTCCTGACTTTGATGTCGGCGTATACCGCGGGACTATGTTTACTTAGTTTGTCTGAATTTAGAGACGCTGATCGAGAGACCATTAGTCTCGCAGAGTTCAATGCCTTGGAACGTCGGCTCCAGAAGAGTAAGGAAAGCAAAAAATCCGATGCCGGATGGAATCTAGATCCTGACTGACAATGAGCAAAGGAGAAGCTATCGACGCCTTCCCCGGTCTCGATCTCGCTCAGCTGTTTCATTCGGGAAGTGAGTTGAATAGTGATCCTTCTGCGTCACCCCAAGCAAAACTACTCGGACTGCAGTCATTCGGCTCAAGTAGACTCGACCTACGAGTGTTTTACGTCAGCCGTTGGATTAGCCTTTGATCCATTGGCAACGGTAAGCGGACGTCAACAAGACTTTGTCCGCCAAGTTGAGCGCTCGTTGACGAAAATAACACGAGGAGCCCGACTGGGAGCAATCCTTAAAGAGACGTGAGTTGGGAATCTCTCCCGAGAGATCATTTGTCGCCACGGATTAGCGCGTGTCAGTGTCTAGTGGACAACTACCGTTGGCTCAATCGGGGCGCTAAACGGACTCTCGGACGAAACACCTAATCTGACTAAGCATCTGTTTTTAATCACAGGAGCGAGCAAGAACTATTTGGATCAAGCTCTCCCTAATCAGATGTACTCGAAACTCGTCCCATTTCTTTTCTTTCGGTGCAGAGATCGCAGTGCGAGCGTCAATTTGCATCGCATATCCGCGTCGGATGATCTGGTGCTCTATCTGGTGGGTCGATAACCTAAATTGATTCTGGTTATCGTCTGGGTGCCAGTACGCGATACATTCTGAGTCTACAGGGAAGATGGAAAAAGATGAAACAGTAGAGTCGTCTCGACTATCCGTGGCCGTCAGCCACGAGGGCCGCAGCGGTATCGCCGTTCGAACTTTTGGGCGACACGTCGATGAATGATCAGCCGTCGAATCAATGAGAAATGGATTCGGAATTTTCAACCTTCAAGTCGGATCCTGCAGTCTCCCGAGTGGCTTCTAAGTTTCGCCCATCGCTTCATTATTCTGATCGTCGGATCGAGCCACAGGAATCGACTGTAAGAGCGTAGTTACATCGTCAGATGAACGTCGCGTCGCTTTTGTCTCGCCCGGACAAAGTGTCCGCCCCCAACAGTGGTCTACAGGAATATCTGTCCCGTGTCCAACGGAAACAAAATAGTTGAGAGAACCCGCGAGAAAAAGAAAGATCAACACAAGAACAACCTATTTCCCACCGAATAATATCGACACTAAAGATCTCGCGTCGATGTCGGACGTGAAGCGTTTCTGAATCTCATTACTGTGATTCTCTCCGGTATCTTAAAACCGTGACAAACGGTATCAAGCGACCACGTGGGCGCCACCATTGACAAGTGCGGCTTCGGAGGATTTCAAGCAGACGGATCCGAAACTTTATCCGCTCGCGAGCAGGGGAGGCTCTTCTTGGCGATTGAGTGATCAAGTAAGAAAGATCGCTTCATTCAGCCTCCAGTGTCGGGAGTCGGGAGACAGGAGACAGTGCCCATAACACAATACTACCGAGAAGTAGCTCCGTGAATAAACATCCGATTCTGACTTTGGCTTTCCAGCCGTTGCGATTCCACGTGTTCTCTCGGGTCGGAAAACCGGCAAACATGCAAAAGACGTCTCCGCCCTATCGCGATACTACGTCTTTGACACGCGAAAGCATCGATGAGAGAAAGAACTTAGTTCGGGGTTGACCAAGAGACGAGTTGGTCGGCGTCCTCGCCTCCTCATGACTCAGCGGTTGTGGGGTCGCCCTTTGCCGAAGCGATGTTTTCTTTCCGTCTTGCCTATTGGAGAGCTGGGTAATTTGAGCGAGGTCGGCAGTGAGGCAAAAGGCGGAGAAGAGAGTGGATGGAGAAGAAAATTGGATGAGAAGTCGAGGGGATAGAAAAGCTAAGAGAGGAGAAGTTAAGGGCTAGCACGGTACGACAAGGTTGAGGAGTTCGAAGCGGACGAGCTTCGATGTCTTGCCATTGGAAGATATCTGGATGCAGTCCCTCCTTCGAGATCTGAACAATTCAATCAAGCCTTCCAAGGCTCCGGCTGGGCTCGTCGCTGTTCAAGAAGGGAGAATCAAGAGAATGGATCGGGTGCTAGCGAAAGTATTTCCCATTTCTCGTCGAAGTTGAGCAGCCATTGATTTTTCATCATCAAACAAAGTGAAATCACCCGGGTTCCGTCTCGGATGCGTCTCGAAAGAGTATCCTTCGAATGTCTGAGGAAAGTTCGTGGCTATACGTTGAAACGCTCCTGGCCACCGAAGTATCGGAGCACCGTTCATGCAGGGAGGTGTGCTACCCACGCGAGGTTGAGCATAGCCGATGTGAGTTTGGATCCCACACAATGCATAGAATGCGCTGAGCGTGGGTCCGAGCTCCCGTCTCGGAGGTTCCGAGTCCGTTTCGGATGCTTCCGAGAGTCGGAGCGGAGCTGTCCGAAGCCCGGCGGTATCGAATCGGAAAACTTACTTCGTGACTCTTCCGCGGGGACAAATCGTCCCGAGACCTCTTTTCGGAACCCTGATTGAATATTTTTTTCTCGTCTCCCGTGTCTTCACCCGCTGATTATTCATCTGTACTTCGTTCGAACGGAGCCCGGTCCCTTCAGTTTTGTGATGCCTTCAGTAGATATCCGTTAGGATCCCTGGGTGATATTTGGCTCTGAAAATGGAGAAACTAGGAGTGGTTTGTTTGCTGTTTAGATGTAAGATGCTTGTCGTCTTGCCGCTGTGGCAGCTCCTCGGGTTTCTAAGCGGAGTTGGCACTTTTGGGTCAAATAGGAGGTCTGTCCGGCGTATGTGTATGATATCTTGACGGAAAAAAAGAAGACAGTCCGCCGCGGCTCATCTGCTTCGAGATAAGCCCCCGCCGCCGCCGCCGCAAACACCGCCGGCAGCTCAGCCCGGAAGTTCTCGACTTTGGCGCATGTCGATCCCATCTTTTTATTATTTTCTCGGTCGTGGTCCATGTTTCATCTCCTCCCCTTTCCTTTGGTTGAAAATGTTGTTTCCGAATCGTGTTTGATACGCCGCGTCAATAGGAACCGAATTCGGAGGTAACCCGATCGTTTAATGCGTTCGCGGAACTCACAAATCGTTGCCAGTGCCGTGCCGAGGCATTACAATTCGGATGATAAAATATCACCTCTGGAAACGAGCTTTCAAGAAAAAGCGAAACCATTCAAGTTGGCCCAGGGAGAACAAGTGGCTACTGTTGCGCCCTGATGACGCATGGAACGATGTCATGAGTTTGTCATTGTGGGCAGTTTTCTTTCTCCAGCGGGGCCACCGCCAAGAGTCGCGAACTCGTTCCGAGAACTTGGCACCCATTAAGTTTTTCTCCGTCCACCCATTCATCCCTCTCGCATGGCTTCCTCAGCCGTTATTCAGAACGGTACGGCGTAAGAGGAGAAGACTCGAGCCATTTCTCTATTTGTGCAGCCATAAAATCCCGCAAAGTGGAGCCAGACATTCCACCTCTCTATTGCACGATTTTAAGGAACATGAAATTGAGTCGCGTAAGAGAATTATAAAATCGCAAGCCGAAAGCTCCGCCATCTTCTCACTATAGCTCTAAGAGAGAATTAAGGACACGGTCCCCGAGGATCAGCCTCGGAGCAGTCAGCTTAGTTCGAGCGCCCACACTCTCATAGGATCGTGGATGGGGGAAAACCTTCCAAGTCCGGTGTTCCGTGACGGGTAAGGGAGGACTTCGCTCCATCAGCTCTGGTGCTTGCCTTGGAGCCATTCTGACCCGCATGGTCGATTCGCTCGTTTCCGGAAAATAGGTACTTAATTGACTGGAATCATGAAATAAAAGACACAATTCAAACTTGGGAATCCTCCCACAACAGCATCCGAAAAGCTGGGTAGACCGGAACATGAGGCTCTTGAGGTTAGCTCTGCTTCCTTTTCGATATCCGCGCTTGCTGCTTGATGAGCTTGGCAACGAAGTCCCCAAGCTGTATCGAAGACAATGATTGTGGGCGTCATGATTACCGTTGGAATATACCAT